TCGGCGGGGTCGCAGCTGCCTCTGGAAGGCACCGAGATGTACCTTTTTCGCGCAATGGTCAAAATCAAGGTTTTGTAACGCGAGCTGTGCCACAGTGAAATGGAACTAGCCCTAATGAAAGTGGCGCTGCCATTATTACAGCGCTCTCAGCTGTCTATCGACTATACACGCGGTCTAGAAATGGCTCGAGGTGTGTGGCGGTTGCGGAAGAATGCAAAAATCGCGTTTGGAACGAAATTGCGATTTGTGTCTCTGAGATGGCGTCGATAATACATAATCCTCTCATCGCGAGCGAGCCCCAAACAAATTGGTCTCCAAGCGCGTGCTGTGTCTCGGTCGTCTAGTACGGTAGCGAGCGCGCGCCACAGTTCTACGCCCGCGCGCCGACACGCGTGTGTGCTCTCCCACTCTCTACCAACCCCGGTGAGATCTGAGTGGGGGCCCGTCTCGCCCACCTCATCATCAGACACGCAAATACTCGAGACGCCCGCGCCGAGGGGGCGGGCAGCCCTCCCGCGCACCCGCCTACCCAGGCGCCCGCCCACCTCTCGCATGCAAAACGTCGCGCAGCCGCTGTCTCTCGACCGAGGGGGCGCGCACACCGACTCACAGCGCCTTGCGGGTAGCGACGGCCTTCTTGGCCTTGGCCTTCGCGATGTTGTCCATGTAGAAGAAGTGGCAGAACAGCAGAAAGACGGAGCCGACGTAAGCATAGTTAAAGACCCAGCTGAAGACCTGCGGCCGGCGGTGAGGGGACTCCTTCGCGGTGGGTGCGGCGGCGGAGGCCGTCGGCGGCGCTCTTGGCTCTGGAGGGTCCGCAGGCGGACCTGCCCGGCGTCGGCGTGGAAGCACGGCACGTTGATGTAGTCCCACACTAGGACAAAGCCGCCGACGAACTGGCTTATTTGCATCGCGGTGATGATCGGCTTGCCGCGGATCTTGTAGCCCGCGGCGGTGAGGCCGTAGTACGTGTACATGACCGTGTGGATGAACGAGTTGAAGAACCTGGGGAGGGGTCGGGGGGGGGGGCCGACTCAGTGCACGCCCGGCCGATATCGCGGTGGTGGCATCAGGAGGGAGAGTCGGGCGGGTCGACTGGAGGCGGGCTGGGAGGAGGCGGGCACATGAAGATCCACACGCCCTCGTTCTTCAGCCGAATGCCCAGGTACACGTCCCACGGCGCGCCAAAGTGGTGGAAGCCCTGCAGGAAGGAGACCTGCGGCGCCGGTGGCGGCGGAACGAGGCCGAGAGAGGGCTCAGAGCGACGTCTTGTCGCGGGGGGAGGGGCACTCTGAGAGGGGAGGCCTTCTTCCCCTTGAGGACGAGCCACGCCGTGTCGAGGTACTCCACGTACTTTGAGTAGTAGAAGGCCTTGGCCGTCCACAGGAACAGCTTGGAGTCCCATACCCTCGACGGGCATTGCCACAGCTGCTGCGGGCTGTCGCCCGTGAGACTGCGGAGCCACTCGCCGGTGCCCTTGTCCCACCCGAGCGCGGTCGCAGTCACGTAGAAGCTCGTCGCGGAGAAGAGCGCGAGCACCACGTTGTACCTGAACAGCAGGGGCGGCGGAGGAGGAGCGAGTCGGCAGACCGGCCTCGGCAAATGCAGCGGGAGACGATGGCGGAGCACGCTGCCGCCGGCTGCGGACGGATCGCAGGGCACACGACCGGGGCGACACGTTTCTGCGGACTCGCAGCAACATGGGTGCTGCGGCGCTCACCAGATCATCGAGGTCCGGTAGGCGCCTTTCCGCTCGTCCACGAGCCCTGAGTTGCGTAGCAGCGGCTTGAGCAGCAGGTAGGAGAAAGTGCCGATCAGGATTTCCGGATCGGACACCGCAGACCAGATGGCCGCGTCGGACGAGGCGCGATCGAGCATCGGGGTACGCGACGCCGATGCCAGACGACTGCGAAGTGGAACCTTCGATTCAGCGCGCGACGCGATTTCTTCTTTTGCGAACGGTGGATTGAGAAGAAAATAGCCGCTGGTCTGTGACACATCAGACGACACACATTCTCCCACCCGCGACCCGCCGGGCCGCCAAAACGCTCTCGACGAGAGCCACAAGAAGCCGTCCGCACAGCAAGCCGGTCGGTGGAGGGTGAGCGGTGGGGCTCGCGGGGGGGCGGGGGAGGGGGCTGCTCGAGGGGCGAGCGAGCAGTACCGTGGGGCGCCGAGGGGAGGGTCACTGTCGGTGGCGCAATGGCCAGATCCTCCCGCCATCATGCGAGGGCGTTGTGCTCGAGGTGTGGGCCCGGGACCCGGGTCGCAAACAGTGGGTCACCGGACTCGTTCTCCCTACGACTAGCTCTCAAGTCGAATACGCACCGCTCGACGCTCGCTGCTTCCGCTTGGCCATACGAGGGCGGCCTGAGGGTGGGGGGCGGGTCGGGGCTGTGGCGACAACGCCCAAGCGTTGCGCCGCTCGCGCCCGGGCCGTGTGGCGGGCGGCGGGGGCGCGGGGGCGCGGGCAAGTGGGGGGCGCAAACGGGGCGCGCGTTGCAGTTTTTGACAGAGATAGCCCAAAAATAACCCGCGACTTAAAGCACACAGTGAATCACAAGGACTGGTACGCGCACCAGGAGCTCGTCAAGGCGCGGGATGTGCACGTCAAGAACAACCCGTCCCTCGGAGACAGCGCCGTCAACAACCGCGAAGCCGCGCGCTTCGTCTCCGCCTCAACGCCTTTCGCCGGCAAGGCCTTCGATGTCCGTGTCGACGGTACGTACGCCACCGCCCTCTCCTCCGACACCCTCCAGGACGAGCTCCAGCGGAAGCTCGGCCTTTGGCTCTCCGCGGCGCTTCCCACCCTTCGGGTCGCGCTCGAGCGGGGCATGCCAGTCGATTTCTTCGGCGACTACCTTTACCACAAGGCCCACCACCGGCGGCCCCACGACGGCGTCCTCGCCGCCTGGGCGGACGCGATGCGCGCCCCGGCCAACGCGCCGGTCGTGCACGGCGACAAGGAGAAACCAGAGCTCACCCGGCAGTACAACGAGGGGTACAAGACTGACCTCGCAGAACCCCATGCGGGACCGGGGGGGTGCGATGAAGTGAATGAAATCATGCTCTGGACGCCCCTCCTCAAGACCTCCTCGCCGGGCGTTGGCAACGCCTCGAGTGGCGGCACGCCCGCCTCCGTTGGCCACTCCTACGCCTTCGGCAACACCGAAGAGAAGGCCCGCCGCCTAAACATGGGCTGCAAGGCGCGCGGGCAGCCCGGCCAACCCTTCTCCCACAAGACCGGCCACGGCTACGTATAGGCGCGCATCGCGGTTTCTACCACGACGCGATCTTTGTCAAGCGCAACAACTTCAACCTACTGCTCCACGAGACGTTCGGCGGCGGCTTCTCGCCCACCGCCGTTCTCAAGCTGCGCCGCCTCGCGCGCAAAGTCGCGCGCGGCAGCGTTGACCGCACAGCCTACTCGCCCAAGTACTCTCTCTCTTTTATGTCCCACCATGCAGAGCGCATCTCTCTCTCTGTTGTGCGAGGCGTGAACCGCGCCATTCGCTCTCACCTGGCAACCCTGTCTGCACGTCTCGCGCGCGCGTGAACAGGGCTCCAGGCCCCAAATGACGTGTGAGTGTTAGAGTTGTTTGGTATTGAACGGACCTTACACGCCTGTAACCTCTCTTTAAGGTATTGCTAAAAATCACTCTCTCTCTCCCAAAGGCAAAGCACTTGGAGCACTTGGAGTGCATGCAGTTCCAAAGTGGCGAAAAGTCGCACTCTCCCCTGAGTGCACTCTCCACTGAGTGCTTTTAGTTTTACGCTCTTTTGATCGGGGCGGGTAGGTGGTGGCGGGACGGCGCAGTGTTTGTGGCACTCGGCAGTAGGCACCCGCGGCACGGCCCCGCACCCCCGCTGTAGGCTCTCGCGGGCTGCGGAACCGGCCCCAGAAGGGGGGACGGTCCGGGCGAGTGTGGCAGCTCCTGAGCTAGTATGGGCACCCTCTATCATACTGTAGCACTACTGATCCTGGTCATTAGAGCTGCCAGGGATAGCGTCAGGAGCCGGTAGGAGTCAAAACCCTTCATATTTGAGAGACATCGTGTCCCATACGGCTCTATACATACGCTCGCACACAACGACGAGCGCCGACCCCGCGGCGCTCCCCGGGTTCCGCGGTCCTTCGAGTCACGTCATCGTCGCTGTCGCGAAAAGAGCGACACAGACAGCGACTGCGACCCCACCAATGGGCAGTTTTGTAAGAAAGCACACCTACTCATACGGAGTAGAGAAAATCGACAACCGTTTTTGGTCCAAGGTTCCGCACCGGCGCCCCTGCGGCGTTCAGCTCCTCAGCGGCTTGAGGCCGAGCTGCTCCCGCATCGCGTTTGTCTCGTCCACCGACATGCTCTCCTCGCCCATCCGCTTCCGCTCCGCCGGCGCCGCGCCTCCACCCGCCGGCTCGGCCGGCGCCTCAGCCTGCGGCGCCTGCTTGAAGAGCCCCGCGCCGCGCTCCTTCTTGCGCTTCTTCTTGCGCTCGCCGCCGCCACCGCTCATCATCCTGTCGAAGGCTGCCGCGCTGCCGCCGCCGCCGCCCTCCACCGCGTCCGCGCCGCCCCCCCTGCGCGGTGGCGGCGGCGGCGGCGGCGCAAAGTGCTCGCGGCCCGAGCGTTTGTCTGCGTCGCGGTCCCTGCGTCCCGCAGCCTCGTCCGCGTCGCGCTGCCGCTTGCGCTCCTCCCACTCCGCCTTCTTCCGCGCCTGAGGGGGAGGTGGAGCGCGGTTGCGCGTGTGCGTGCGTGCGCGTGCGTGCGTGCGTGCGTGCGTGTGCGTGCGCGTGCGTGCGTGCGCGCGCGCGCGCGGCGTGCGCGTGCGTGCGTGCGTGCGCGCGCGCGCGCGCCTCGAGCGCCAGCTCCGCCTGCGCGCCCGCCTTACGCCGGGACAGCACCTCCTCGATGTGCGATCGCCGCTTGGCGTTGGCGGCGCGCTCCTTGTCCCCGAGCAGCGAGGCGCGGACGGCCGCCTCCTCACGCTCCCCCGCGGTCGTCGCCGTGCCGCGCGCCTCCGCGAAGCGCTGCTCCTTCTCCGCCGCGTGCGCCTTGAGCTCCGCGTTCCGCTCCACGATCTCGCGCTTCCGCTGCTCCAGCTCCTTTTCGCTCAGCTTGCGCGCGACGTGGTCGGGGATCGCGTCCGGGTCCTTGGCCTGCTCCTCGCGGAAGTCGCGGCAGTGGTCGCACCGCACCGTGCGGCCGAGCAGCTTGGCGCCGTTGAAGTTGTCAACCGCAAGCACCGTCGAGCGCTGGTCCTCGTAGCAGATGAAGGCGAAGCCCTTGGGCTTGCCGGTCCCCTTGTCGCGGGGCATGTTGACGTCGACGATGTCGCCCCACTGCGCCATCACCGTCGCCACGTCGCCCTCGGAGAGCTCGTACGGCAGCCCGCCGACGTAGACGTACGCCGAGTCCGAGTACGTCGCGTGCCACGACTTGGAGACGTCCCAGCTGCCGGCGTCGCCGCGCGTGTTGCTCGCGAGCTGCGTCTCGACCTCGCGCCGGTTGATGCGCTCCACCTCCTTGACGCGGTTCATGGCGTCGGGCAAGAGGCGGAGTCCGAAAGAATTTTACCCCTGCAAGTCGGCGGGCTCGGGATTTTTGTATAGCAGCTGCTGCCTCCACCACTGCGGGACGCGGCCACGATGGGTGTGCAGACCCCAGTTCCGGCGGACGCAGCGAGCGTCGGGACTCCATCCCAGCAGACGAAATCTTCAGTGGCGGGGCTGGATGGAGAGATGGATGGCCCCGTGGCCGACGACTGGGGGGGCGTCAGGAGAACTCCTGGTGAGTTCGACTACGCCTGCATATGCGGAGAAACCTTCCCCACCCGCCTCCGGCGCGACATCCACGTCCGTGCGGCGAGCCTGCTGTGGGAACAGCTGACGCAGTCTCGCCGCGAGGCTCGCCCCAGTCGCCCCCCCGGGCAGGGGGGGACCCGTGAGGCGTGGGAGTGCCCGCACAGGGTATAGGAGCTTTCACAACCCCCTTGGTCGAGGACAGGCGCGCCTCCTCCTCCGCGATGCTTGGCAGCGTGGCGGCATGACGCTGCGGCTTGTA